CCAGAACAGCCTGGAGCAAATCCTAAAATTTCCCCAGAAGGGTGTAAAATCTGCCACAGACATTATTACTAGTGCCTATGGCTTAGAGATCAATGGAATGTGTAAAATTTAGTTTATTGTTTAAGGAGTTTGTCTAATGTTCATTTATGACACATCTCAGGATTGTTTTGTTTTATTTAGTGGTCTGGGGATGCTACTTTGAATACCTTTCCCAATGGAACAAATATGCTGATGAAGAAAATGTTATGACAATAACTTATGAAGAGCTAAAAGAGGTGAGGTTATCAATAACTACAAATATTTTATACTTCACGGTACCTTTTTTCCTAACCCAATTCATCGTTATATTCATGTAGGGTATTCAAACTGCATAGGATAGATTCTTGTTTGAAGTAAAGAAGAGGTAAAATGCAAACTCAAAAACCTTTTAAAATTTTGCTTGAGCAAATAATATTTTTTTTTTTTTTAGCTGTGATATAAGTTCAAAAAATTGTAAATCAAAATCCACAATAATTTTTTGGGAGAAGCTTTTATGCATTCAACAGTGTAGCTTTTGTTCAGCTGTAAATCATGCACAGTCTTTTGTAATCTATAGGGAAACAGCTCGTATCTCCTTGGAAATTATTATGGAGAAGAGGAACACTATGTCTTCCTCTAGTCCCCCTGAGCTCTGCGAATATCCCATACATATATCGAGCAGAGAGGTGTTGGGAATTGTAACCACCTTGGAAAGCAGTGTAATTTGGTTGTATGTCATGTGGTGTGTTACATTCTTCTTTCCAGAATCGTCTCCTGGGTGTGAAAAAGATAGCTGCTTTCTTAGAGATTTCACTGACTGAGGAAGAGCTTCAGCTTGTGGTAGAGAGGAGCAGCTTTCAGGCAATGAAGAAGAACTCTCAGAAGACCCATGGGGCAATCGGCGACATTGTCTTTCGCAAAGGTAGGAAACTGCAAGTGGTTCAGAGGTAGGAATGTCACCTTCTCAAGAACTTGGGCCTTTCTTAGCTTCTTTTTTTTGCACACATATTATGATTGCAAGTTAGTCTCAAGCAGGTGATCACTATTTCACTTAAGAAAGCTTTTCAAGGAACACTGGTGAGGAAGATACCCAGCAAGGTGCTGACACCAGAGCAAATTTTATAGGCCCACAGATGTCTGTCAGGAAGGAGGAAGTGTCCTGTGTCTGAACTCCTCCTCTGTGCCTAGATCACTGATTGTTTAGCCATCCGAGGCTTATCCGAGCAGGCAGCGCTGGGCCAAACTCGACCTGAGTGGCACGATCACACTTTTTAGGAGAGCCACTGCCAAACCCCTGTTCAGTCTTACAGGTTAGGAGTAAGTCAGGCATGCAAGAATCAGGTACACAGGGGAGAGGCAACAAAAGGGAGCTATTTTTGCAGCCTAGTGTAGAGGACAGAGAAATGGAAAGGCTACCCTGGCTGTCAATCTATTGATGCACTTTACGTTCAAGAAGTCAGTAGATAAAAACTCTTACTGCCAAAGGAGCAGAAATGCAGCTCTGCCTCCTGCGAGATAATTCTTAATCAGTTCTTCATGATCTTTCCCTTTATCAGTCATAACTGAATGTTCTTTTACATTGTAGCAGTTTCACAGATATGTAGCTCCACTGACTTCACAAAATTATCTTGGTGCAGAAATGAGTCAAGTTTATCTGGAAAAATAGATCATCAGTATTTAGGACACAATGGAATGACAGTTATAGAAAATTTTTCTTGATTTTCGAGTTTCTTTTCCTCTCTGCAGGTGGTGTAA